TCTAGTCTTGCTTCATTTTGGACTCTTGCATTGCAGAAAGGGTTGGGCGGAAAGTTTGGACTATGAGACAGACTACTGGCATGTATAAGGTCCCAGTGCTACAGGGCGGATGTGGCTCTTTCAAGGAGGAAAACGCTCTATAAAAATCCTAATATCCTAGTAATATTAGTATTCGTATTTTGGAAATAAATATATAGATCTGAGCAAGCAGAAGATTTCCTTCATTTAAAACACGCTCTACTGATCACAGCTGTGGCTTCAGGATGTCTGTTTGAACAATGCAGTTGACAACAGCCGGGTTGATCATGTTCATCTGGCCGAGGACTGTCAATGTTTTAGGATTTACGTTATATATGGTTGACCTTCATCAGCTGATGAAGATAGTGATTCACGTGAGCTAATTCCACGACGCGCTAATTTATTAACTCCCTGCTTGAGTGACATGCCCATACGTCATGCTCATAGTGTCAACACCATGTTATGTGTAGCTCTGTGTGTATATCATAAGATATTACTAACACTGAGGCCTGCATAGTTTTATGAACGTTATATTAGTAGCAAAATGTTTATTTAAATATTATCTAGGAATATCTTGAGTTGTCCATGAAAGTAGGCACTTAATGTTCTGTATTTATAAAGCAATACGCTTCTGTCGTAATATACTCTCCCAAAAAAGAAACGCATATAGGAATTTCAACTGTATTTTTATGTTTATTTTGAAACATCTTGTAGGCTTTATGAGTAAATGAAATATAGCGAAATTGCACACTGAGAATGCAGACTTATCCGTCTTTGGCACCAACTCGAGGAAAGTCAGTTTGAGTGTCACATGGAGACGTGTGGTGGCGCTGAAGTCAGTACCTCGTGTGACCACCGTGGGCATCCAGAACCGCACGGCATCGCCTCGGCATCGAACGAATAAGTCTCAGAATCTCGTGTTGCCCAATCGCAGCCCACTCTGCCTGTAGTGCCTGTGCGAGTTGCTGAAGTGTCTGGGTCTGAGGGTAACGGCGTCGCACCCGTCTGTCAAGGGCAACCCACAGATGTTCGATCGGGTTTTAAAAGTCCGGTGATCATGAGGGCCAGGCGAGCACATTGATGTCGTGGTTCTGGAGGAAGTCTCTAGTGTGACGTGCTGTGTGGGGCCTGGCATTGTCCTGTTGAAACAACTCCCTCTGGCGATCAATAATTGGAAGGAGGTGTGGGCGTAGGATTTCGTCACAGTACCGTTGGGCTGTCAGGTTGCCCTGGATCATCACCAAATCACTACGGCAGGTAATTGCTCCCCACATCATAACACTTTCCCGGCCGAATATGTCCACCTGGGGAACGCAAGCGTCGGCGAAACGTTCACGTCGACGTCTGTACACCCGCATTCTAGACCATAAAGTGCAATCACTCTTACAGTCACTTTTATGACAGTGTATATGATGGAAAGCTCCAGTACGTAATATATATTTTATATGCATCTATAACCATACTGACGGCGTCATCACATTTATTACCCACGTTGTCAACATATGGGTAGTTGCATACTAATCTCGTACGTCACACGAGTGTCGTATCGCGTTGACCTATGTCGTTACGACTTGACCTGAGATTCTAACGATTTGATCAGATAACCGCACGTGACCGGACTTTTCTCTTGTTTGTAATCAAACGCGCATATTCATAATAAGAAGAGACCGGACTCACGAAAGCTTTTCGGCGCTCTCTTCAGAATGTTTCACATTGTTACATATATATTCTTCACAACTGGGACAGTAAGGTCTATGACAGTACATATTTAGATATCAAACTGGCTGCATCGTTTGCTCTCCATCAGCTTCGATGACAGCACATGGTGCCGTACAACCTATGTAAACAAAGGATCGCTACGCAAATCGAAATAGTGTTACATGTTTTGGATATTTTCTCAGTGAAACTAAACCATTCTATTAAAGATGTTTAGTTAGATGTGTAGACTCGTCAAAAATAAAAGAGTAAAAGAAATCTATACATTATATTGAATGGACAAGATGTGACGAATCGTCACATTTTTCTGGCCTGTGGCAGAGGTACTATGCTGGCTTGCCGCACGGAACTCTGGGTAGGAGAGTGAGATAACCGATGACCTCTCAGTTAGGTCACGTTGTGACGGAACTACTTGTTCATTCATAACAAACACGTGAATCCATTCATTCTACAACTTAGATGCATTGTGGGAATGTAAACATTGCGAACGTTGCCGTGTCGCTGTTTAATTGTGAGTCGAACTGAGACATTATATGCGTCGAAAAACATAAACGCAATGTTTCCACCAGTGATGTTAGCCGAGTGAAGCCGTTGCAAACCAAGAAACGGGGTGCTACGGAGTAGATTACTGAAGGAGGCTGTTTACTGAAGGAGGCTGTACGAGAGGCGATGACAACTGACATGCATCGTGACGTCGGTTACCAAGGGGACAGACGAGAATGGCGTAGTGACGTCAATACAGTGTGACGTCATGTAAAAGTGTACGTCAGAACAAAATTCTTCCGCAACCTCTTTATGAAACCGATTTCGGTTTGAAACCACAACAATACCAAAACTACGCTATTTTGTCAATTTAATGCATGTAAGACGTGGGTAATAAATAAAATACCACACTCGGTCTCATTACATACGAATTATACAAAACTCGTGACCTTCCTATGGTTTCTGACTTCGCTTTCGCTCGGTCAGATACCATAGGACGGACACTCGCTTCGTATAATTCGTATGTAATGAGACCTCGTGTAGTATTCTCTATTTATACCGCCAACGCTAAAACAGTATTGCCTGTAGAACCGTAATGTTACGCATCGCACATATAGCGCCTTCATCACCGGGTGATGGCGGATATCCATGCCACAGATGCCTATGGTCTCGGGGCAGATAAAATATTGGTCACAGTGAAAAACGTCCGCATATATGAATACCAAACGGATGACATCAGGCCTATTCTTTTACAACATGACATCTGAGAAGGCAGCAGCTGGTGCCGCCACTGAAGAGGGAGTCAAGATAATGCGCTCACTCGGAATAATGTTTTTCAGATATACTACATATTGACAGCGAGAAAGAAAAACTGTACATGAAGCTAATGTGAAATCTAAAAACACATTTTTGCCAAAACATCAAAATATATAAGAAGAAAGAATACGTTTTATGCCACTATATGAATTTTCGCCAGCCCAGTACGTTAAAGTAAAGCTCCTGGTTTATCGATGACCAGATATAGTTCAGTCATGATCAAATAGCCACCTCCCTTCCACTGACATGCCCACTCTGTAATGAAACAGAAGAGGCCAGTGAAACCGCCTTCATGTTTGATCTATGTAGATCAGAGTGAGGAAAACTACCCGCAGGTTAGACGCGTGTCAAGAGGGGTGGCTTCAACCATCCCTCCCTGTGGAACAGTTCCAGGGCCCTTGTTCTCGAAACGTTCGTAGCCTAAGAATTCTTAACTTTGATCGTAGCCAATGTGTTGGCTTAAGAAGTTCGTAGGGCTACGAACGTTTCGAGAATAAGGGCCCCGCCATTGGTGCGCTGCTATTCACAACTTCTGTGGTTCAATCGAGCACGTACTTCCCTCCAAGACACAGCGCCTCACAACTCTTGCTCAAACGTTATTCTATCAGATAGCATTTATCATTTACATTAAGTCAACCATATGAGACAGATTTAGGCCGAAACATTAACACAGCACCCAGTTAAACAAACAATGTTTTCGTGAAGCAGAATCACTTTACATGCACACAGCAAATTTTACTACACATTAACATATCTGTTTAGTCTCAACAAAATTGTAAATGGGCTATCCTGTGTCAAGATGTCTGGGCCAGTGTCTGCTACTGGTAGAGGAGGTTGGTTGGTTGGTTGTTTAACGCCGAACTCAGCAATATTCCAGCTATATGGCGGCGGTCTGTAAATAATCGAGTCTGGACCAGATAATCCAGTGATCAACAGCATGAGCATCGACCAATTGCGATACGATGACATGAGTCAACCAAGTCAGCGAGCCTGACCACCCTATCCCGTTAGGCGCCTTTTACGACAAGCATGGGCTCTTAAGACAAGATGTATTCTAGCCCTGATCTTCTTCACGGGACAGCGGTAGAGGAGGACACGTTTACCCTATGCACGAGTCACCTGGTGTTATCATTGTCTTTATATAACCAATTCATATAGTTTTCATCGCGATTTTGCCTTTTCGTCTAATGGAATCTTTGTGTGTTGAATAATCGAGACTGGTTAATCTCTGGCGTTGAAGTTTAATGTATACAACATTTAAGGCCTCAGTTTAGCTTTCAGAACCTTAGACATACATGTTGATTACAAATCACAAATAGAAGGATCGGTGACAAACGGTGTCCAGTGCAAGTCCCTTTTTGACTCGTGCCATGCATTTCTTCCTTTGCCTGTGTTTGAGAGGGGTGCCACCGTCATCAACATTTGATATATTCATAAACACATGTTTGTTGAAATTCTGCAGCGGCTATTACTGATTTTTTATGATTGGCGAACGGCTTTATTCCGGGCTTTTATCATATGAGGACTTAACTTACATCATAATGAAAATGACATCATGTGGTATATTTTCTACCGACATTAACAACAAAACACTCATGTTATATCAACGTTAGAGCATGGTGTATTTTGATATGGCCATAACAACGGCAATCAATGACATATGTTTACACAGGGATACCAGTACAAACACCACGTAGCTACAGACATGGGCTGCCCTTGACGGTGAGTGTTGTCAGCTTGCGTCTGTCAAACACGCCATTGCACAATCTAAAACTACTTTGCTTAATAGGTTTCGCCCACATGACTACACATGACTACGCATGTGCTTTATGGCCATGGGTTCGAATCCCGTTTCAGGATTTTTCAGAGTACAATAATATAACTGAAATAACTGCAAAGCAAATTCATTCAGTCTCTCCCTCCCTCACATAAACGATACAGTTATGATTTTCTGTCTTCTGCTTCAGCACCACAGTGCACTTTCCCCGAGGAACTCCGGGGAGCCTGGAAGACGAGCACTCTGTCGACCTTGACCTTCACAGACACGACCGTGACACCGCTGCTGTCTTCTGGCAAGACGATGTCGTGCTTCCTTAACAGGGGGGACCAAATATGTAGTCAGGTGGGACGGCGTACAACTGTTATGAGTATGGGTTGCAATAGTTAAGTGTATTATAGGGTAACACAATGGTTCCTGATTCATCCCACAAAACATGATCGAATCCCAAGCTCGAACACTTTGTGTAATACGCGAGAAATTGAAATGTCGCATTCTCGCGTTCTCGCGATTTCGTGCTTTTGTGGCCTTATTTGACAAGTCGAGATTGCGAGATTGCGAGATTTGACAGCATGTACAAATGTCCCATTCTCGCGTTGTTGACTTTTGACAAAAAGTGCTATGTACCAAAAACACGAGAATGCGAGATCGAGGCCTTGTTTCCAAAGGTCGAGATCGCGAGAATGCGAGATAGCGAGAATGTCCCTTACAGTATTCCATATGTAATACAGAATTAATACTGTTTCTAGATGGTGTAAATCCACCTCAAGTCTAATATACAAATCTATAGATAACCACTTAAAAAAAGACCAATGGGTCCCACTGTAGTACTGTAGCCAGGATGTAGTGTGGGTAAGTGATCTGTGGCCGATAGTCAACTAGGTTAAGACCAGGAGCTGAGGCGTCGGCTAGATATACACATGCATTCAGCTAGATAAACCTATATGGAGTCTACCAGATATAAAGTGGAGGCTAGATATACACTTCACATTATAGAACATTATAGAGGCGTCACATACACCTGTGAGCGGCACACATCCAGATTATGGATTATCGAGATTATCCGTAAAAGGAAATCTATACCATAATGTCACTATTTCCTAGCTGCCACAACCCAGTGTAGGTCGGGTGTGGATGGTGTCATGGTTTCCTGTGGTTCACACAGACCGGGACTCAATAAGACTCACACGAAGGTCGATGTGAAACCGGAGCGGCACTTGTTTGTGCATTGCCGGGTGGCTTTGTCTATGTATATTGATACCACTCACAGAGACCATCCCGAAAACACCAATCTTCCGATATTGGTCAGTTAGAGAACATACAGAGCGTTGTGTGGCGCAACATGTGACAACTGCCTCTTGGACAAATGAATAAATGTTGAGCATCTAATAAACGTCCAACAAACACACGCATAAATCTACCATACGTTATTCACATATAGAAATACTATCTATCTATAAACTATATATATACTCCAGCCAGGCCATCTAAAATAGAAATACACCAATCAAGCAAACATCCGTGTTGTATATACCACAACTTTGTGGTAATAATAATGTAGTATATCTGGGGGTACAATAACACTGGATATAATTATAATCTTCTGTTTTTAATAGCATAATGTGGCTGTAGGTGTCGACATGAAGATTTATTCTTGGTACCACCTGCTGCAGATCAATCAATACATGTATATAGTTTCATATGTTTCGGGGTTTTTTGTAAGAAAGAAACGGATGTTTGAAGGATTTTGAACATTCAGTGACGTATTTCATCTGCTACCGTGAAATATTGACTCGCGTGTATTTCCGATACCTGTCATGTTTCAATATTTCAATTCTGAGACAACTACCATTGCGACATTGAGGGAAGCAGCTGTAACCCAGCTAGCAACTACCATTGCCACATTGAGGGAAGCAGTTGTAACCCAGCTAGCAACTACCATTGCGACATTGAGGGAAGCAGCTGTAATCCAGCTAGCCTTAGCTTACGCTGTATCTGTATGAAGCCCTCTCTCCATCCGTGGTAGCAGTAGAACGCATGCGCTGGAAACTTTCAAATACTGCGTTTTCCCAGCAGCTGTGAATGTGAAGTATGAAATCTGGATATTTCTCCACAACAAGTGTTCTCATTATATACCGTACATAGCTGGAGGGCGTTTGAGGTCATCAATGTTCACAAGCTGTTGTAAAGGTCGTACATATTCTAATTCAGCAAGTCATCGTCTCGCCAGGTTAGTCCGCATAAGAATGCATGATGTAGAGGGTAATGTCCGAGTAACTCTCCATTCCTTAAAAATTATGTAACCGAGTCCCCGGAGGGGCCGAGGCACATTGTTTTTAAGGAATGGAGAGTTACGAGGATATTACCCTACTTAAATTACATTCAAAGTATTGGGAATATTTCTGTTATCAAAGTTATATGTCAAAATGACAAAATGAAGTCTTTAATTTGAAGCTGGTACACATCGCTCCATTCCGGAGCGAGCAGACAATGGAATGACGTCACAAATGTAATTTAATAGGGGCTTACGTATTGCGACAGATATTGCAGATTGGGTCAGATCGGACGAAACATATTCGGTCTGGCTAGCAAGAAGGTCCAAATATATATGTGTCATAACAAATAAATAATAAGGCAGATTATTGTTAAGTGAAGTGGCAGTTCTCTCATTGGGGTACTACTGCTAAAACCAAACTGACTGACTGACTGACTAACTCAATGACTGACTGACTGACTGACTGACTGAAGGGGGCAAGCACACGGTTACCGTAAATTGCCATAATTTACTTCTTCTGGACTTGGTTTTAAATCACAACACTACACATGGGGCTCCTACCAGGAGTGAATTTTTGCAGGCCCCCCTGTTAATCCCCATACACTGATATATGATGATGTGGGGGCGATGGAGACACCACTACCCAGACATAGACATTTACTACTAGGATTAGAATCACTGTATTACACAGTTAGGTCGTATCATGCCATCTCAGTCATGTCATCGTGAGAATGTAAAACGTTTCATTGAAAATCGATCAAATATATTGCAGTATTGAGCCAATATCCATATACCGAACACACCACCCATTACCCACACACCTGTACCAACCGTTTGTGTTGTGCTTTGAAGTGAAATGTACAATACTGTCCCCGACGGTGTACACCACACGACCTAGATGGGACCAGGGTGGGGTTCTTTAAGTGAAATGTACAATACTGTCCCCGACGGTGTAGACCACACGACCTAGATGGGACCAGGGTGGGGTTCTTTAAGTGAAATGTACAATACTGTCCCCGACGGTGTAGACCACACGACCTAGATGGGACCAGGGTGGGGCTCTTTACGTATTACGTGTTTCTCGGTCGCACACGACACAACGATCGTATTTCGCCCAATATTAAATCATTGCATCAGGCTCCTGGCTGCAGATATCGAATTTGGTCCGACATAAGTTAGTCCTTGATTCTCCTGACAGCTGGATAACACGTGGTCGATACAGATATAAACCTGCGTAGTTACCGAACGTGCCAAGGGAAGTGACGGTGACCTCAGCCAGGTGTGCACAGCTCTGTACCAAGGTCGTGACTGTGCACTCCATCCATCTTTGTGTCATTTGTTGATATACCACCATCCTGCATTGTGCCATGCGTTAATACACCATCATACATTGCGGTATTTTATTTGATACCCTAGCACTTCGTTTTGCCGAAAATTGTTAGGCACTTGTTTCCTAACTGGCTGACAGTAGAATTGAAGGGGATTGTGTTGAATTCTTGCGATGACCGTGTCACTGGCATATCATTGTCTGCAGTTTGTTTTTTTAGCTGATGATTAAACAAGCGAATTGTCAGTATTACTTATAATTATTCAATGACAGTTGTTTATCTATACCAACCGATTTCAAAATGATTTTGGTTTCTGGCGTTACACATGTAAAGACTTGTGTGCACACTGTCTAAATATAAAAAAAACACAGACGATATTGATGTCAGTTCTTAAACATACTGATCACAAAAAGAAACTATGCAAAATCCTTTTTAAAATTTAAAATAAAAACAAGAATGAAATCTTTCCATGTAAACTTTAATATGTGGATATTGAAATCATACGAAGACGGCCTCTGCCTCTTCGGCAAGACCTTTGGCAGTTTTCTCGATGACATTGCGCAAGGATAGGTCGTGTGGCGGGTGGTTCCTGGCTGTGTTGGGGTGGATAAGTCCTGGAATGGTCCCAGCGGTGGTCCCAGCTGTCTGGGACATGGGTGGGAGTAGATTCATCTATGTCCATCTGCCCTGTCCTGTCCTGTCCTTCACGTGGGCGATCGGCAGCTTCAGTATTGTCCTGATAACGTCTCAACAGTGCTGTAATGGTGTGGCGGTGTCAGTGGTGTAGCGGCCGTAAAATGTCCGAGTCCCCTTCTCCGAAGTCGGACGCCTTGTCCACATGACCAAAGAGGTTAACCCCGTCAGCAACCTGACAAGGTAGGGTGTCAGCTGTGGGATGACTCCACGCCCTGCTACAGTGGAAATGCACGGCCACTTGACGTTGAGACGTTGTGCAGCCCATGGTGTGCGGTTCACTAGCTGTTTATATTTTGGAACGGTCAAGCATCAAACAATTAAGCTTCCCAAATGGAAAGCAGGTTTTGACCGTCATGCTCGACATGCACAAAACATGTTGCACTTGTCCCCTGCATAAACGCAGCACCTCTGTATATGTATAGTATATTTTATTAGTCACAGTGTTGACATCTGTATTTGTGTACACATGTAGTTCCAATATATGTTGATGTCTACACTTTCTGTTTGGTTAGTGTACATGTCGCCTACACCATTCCCTATAGTGTCCCGGGAGCGCGTCAGTACATATCGCCCACACCATGCCCTGTAGTGTCCCGGGAGCGCGTCAGTACATATCGCCTACACCATGCCCTGTAGTGTCCCGGGAGCGCGTCAGTACATATCGCCCACACCATGCCCTGTAGTGTCCCGGGAGCGCGTCAGTACATATCGCCTACACCATGCCCTGTAGTGTCCCGGGAGCGCGTCAGTACATATCGCCCACACCATGCCCTATAGTGTCCCGGGAACGCGTCAGTTGTGCGTTTAGCACCATCACACTGGTGAGCCCACACTGAAGACATGACACTATTCATTTCAGTCAGGTGGGGGAGATAATGGGGCAATATTTAATAAACTCTCCAATATAACTATATCTCAAAGTACGTTATTTGAGCTATCCCGTAGACATATTGCCTGATAGAATATATTGAACGACTTGAAATGTTACTGACCTGTAAATACAACCCACGCTTGTCATTTTGTATTGTGCTGCGTCCATTTGTTGAAAGCATTATCCAATGAAATACAACCTGAACAGTGATGTTTGCAACATGGTTCAAAATAAGGACGATCATAGACATACATGAATGATACATACATCTGATGCATTGATGTAAATGCAGGTGTACGTTGACTTAATTCAGGTGCCCTTGTTGTCTGTGTCGAGGTGAACGTTGACATGATTCAGGTGCCATTGTTGACTGTGCAGGTGTACGTTAACATGATTCAGGTTCCATTGTTGACCGTATGCAGGTGTACGTTGACGTGATTCAGGTGCCATTGTTTGTGTTAAGTTAATGGCATCAAACTAATAATGATGTTATAATTATAGACTTCATGTTGCCACAATTAGATTTCCTGTCACAACTATAGAAATATACCTGTGGATGAATTATCACCATAGCCCGTTATAAAAGAAGCATTGAATTTGAAAGCTGCACAGGTGTATGAGTATTGATACTCAGAATAACTGTGACCACCTCCGTGATTTGCGGCGTAAAACATATTTACGTATAAGTCGTTACCCACAGGTCGGAAACCTACAAGTTCGGTCCCGCCGTCTTCGTGGACTACACCTGCCTCGACTTCCACTCCGTCTCTACCACCACCTTCTTTTACTACCAGCTAACAGGTGAGTCGATCATGGCTATATCTATAGTCGTCATATACTAACTCTCTCGCCCACACTCGTCACGTCCTCGCTCTGTACTTGTTGTCAAGTCTTCTTCACTCTGACATTTACTTGCCACGCTGTCACGTATAAACGTCTTGTTACCTAAATAATCCAAGACCGCGCATCTGCATCTTGTCAACGTCTGTCACGTGTGTACTATGTGTCACGCCATTAGTAGTTGACGAAATGTACAACAACTGGGTATCTCTTAGGTAACAACCCTAATTACTGGTCGATCCAAACTTACTTTACTTGCGCCTTGAACCGAAATTATGATAATGAAACGTCACCATTACACTTCAGCTGAAAACTCTGACGCCCAACATGACAGAGTCGTCACCTACTTCAACACAACCGCCCCAACCTTGAACGAAGTCTGTAACGTGGATGGCACCCCCGCGCCCGGTACCTACTCATTTATGATGCAATCAGGTGAGTCGTGGCACATAAACCGCTCGGGAGAGAATTCAGTCATGTCATATGTGTCACGAGGGAGGAAAGTCGTCACGTGACGCATGTCCTGGACGTCTACTCTGTAACCCGTGATGACGGGTGTGGTGTTGACAAACAAGAGACGGAGCGGGCTCACTAAAGGGACGCAACTCCGCACAGAAAACTGCGGCGCGGTACAGGTTACACACCACCAAATGTTTTCCCATAGACTTCTATAGTAACCTTATATTTTTTTTAAAAATATCCAGGCTATAAACAGCCATTCCATGTACACATGGGTACACTCTGGCCTTTAAACTACCATAAAACAAAATATCAGGCCAACTTGTCCGGCTCGTTTTGCGAGCACAGGAAGCGGAACACATCAACCCCAGTTCCGCACCAATTGTCACCTACTGGAAAATGTCTGTACACACAATAAGCATAAGTGATGGTGATAAAAATGAGAGCACTAAATACTTAAAACTGTGGTCGGTTTTAATTACTGGTTGGATGTGCTTTTAAAAAACATAAACATCTTACACTATTTCATCCAATCACAGCTGTCACATGTCTCTGTCTCTCTTCACTTGTTTACATACGGCTCTCGCTCAGGGAGCATGTGATACTGATTTAGTGTAGTGGAACCTATACAGCTCGTCCCACCATGACTGTGAGACAGGAAGGGCTTCACCTGTTTCCCTGGCTGTTATTCACGGCGGAACATGAACCAATAATTTCATTGTCTGACTGAAATCCAGTATAACTGGGCCTGGCTAGGGCTGTGAGAAGGTTGACAGTTGGGTGACACATAATAATAATCCGAATGAGTAATGTCTCATACCAATTTACCTGATCCATGCTTCACAGACAACTAAAGTATTTCGTTAAACAGCTTTCAGTAAACCGGTCGTTAGCGGAATGTTGGATTATACGACAGCTTCTTGCGACTTTTCCTGACAGGCGCCAGCTTGCAACTAATACAGAGTTGAAGGGCGGAATGACAGCCCTAGTACATATTACGGTCAAAGGTCACTGATGTTCCCTGCTTACGTAGCGTGTACGACGTGTGTCAGTCAAACTGTCAATGGGGACTCAATGATTCAAGTTCGGATCGGAACAGAGCACTAACGGCAAAGTCCCATCCTCTCAGTTAGTCATGATAAATATCCTGGAGTCATTTTTCATCATGGATCCGAACCCAACTCGAATGTCACGACGCTAAGAATAGTCGTCCAATCACATTACTTCCTCGAGGAATGTTATCTGGGAGGTTAGAGATAGGAGACGTTGAGATGGTGACGTCACATGGAAATACCGCTATGTTGAAGCACCGGGACAGGGTGTTTCACGGAATGAGTATATGATATTCTACAGATGATAACAGTGAGTTGTGTGACAGTATGATCTGTTCCCCCAGATGCCCTGAACGTGTCGGTCAATCGGTGCCCGGATGTCATCCTGGGGGAGTACAATGTCACCCTGCCGTCGTGCCCCGGAGGTGCCGAACTCGACGTCTGCACCGACAAGAAACGCCTCGACTTCAACTACACCCAGTGTGGAGCTGGCCAGTACTCAGGTGGGTGGAGACAACTGTAGTATTGTACAGCCCGGGTGTGCTTTCATATTTAGGGCCATGTGACGTCGCGAAAATACAATTTACACAGAAAACCAGCATAGTATTCGGTAAATGTACCCATGATCTGAACGTTGCATCTCTGTCGAGACCGAACTTAGTGGAACACCGCTTTAAATATTGTTTCAGGCTATTCACAGTGTTTCAGGCTAATCATAATCACAGTTTTGCAGGCTAATCACAGTGTTTCAGGCTGATGACAGTGTTTCAGGGTAATCACAGTGTTTCAGGCTGATCACAGTGTTTCAGGCTGATCACAGTGTTTCAGGGTAATCACAGTGTTTCAGGCTGATCACAGTGTTTCAGGCTGATCACAGTGTTTCAGGCTAATCACAGCGTCTCAGGCGGATCACAGCGTCTCAGGCGGATCACAGCGTCTCAGGCGGATCACAGTGTTTCAGGCTGATCACAGTGTTTCAGGCTGATCACAGCGTCTCAGGCTGATCACAGCGTTTCAGGCTGATCACAGTGTTTCAGGCTGATCACAGCGTCTCAGGCGGATCACAGTGTTTCAGGCTGATCACAATGTTTCAGGCTAATCATAATCACAGTGTTCAGGCAATTGTTCACAGTGTTTCAGGCACAGTCACAGTGTTTTTCAGGCTCACAGTGTTTCAGGCTGATCACAGCGTCTCAGGCGGATCACAGTGTTTCAGGCTGAATGTTTCAGGCAATCATAATCACAGTGTTCCAGGCTAATCACAGTGTTCCAGGCTAATCACAGTGTTTCAGGCTAATCACGGGTGATCAGCTTGGTTTGTCAATGTTTTAAGAACGAGTAACCGAACAATATCACGCTCGAACACAGGAAATTGTTGCACATTGTTGGGAATGGATATAACTGACTGTATAACAGGTTGATATACACCATCAGTACTGGTTCCAGGGGAGGTGGTATATAACCTACTATATAACAACGTGATATGACAAAACATGTTTCCAAAGAGATGTGATATAACTGACTGTATAACAGTTTTATATACACCATATGTACTGTTTCCAGGGGAGGTGGTATATAACTGCCTGTACAACACCGACAGTGGCGACATGACGTACCTCACTCTCTATAACGACGCCGAGGACGACGGCAGCAACCCCTTCATCCCCTTCTCCTGTGTGGTGAGTCGTTAATCATGCCCAAAGGCACGACGTGGTGACCCACGACCCTGGGTAGCACTCATAGCTTTTCGACTGTCGGCGGTCGATGTTACAACATTATAGTTGTGGTAACTTGAGCAGCGTCTCCATGTCTCCAGATCTGTCTTCCTACATATCCCTGGGAGTACGCTTACGTTTACATGACCTTTTAGACTGTTTGATTGATTGAGTTAGTATGTTTTTATGCCGTTTTATCAATATCCGGTCTGGAACAAAACATGATGGAGTTTACACATTGTATCCATGTAGGATAACCCTGCAGACCCTGCCATATGATTGGTCTTTCCCGATCGCCATTCATTTCAAACTATTTTGCTTCATAAGTCACACGAACTGACTTGACCAGTGCTAGGTTTGACGCTTTCATTCTTTCGTTTAAGGTGATGGCGACGTCAAGTGGCGGGGTAAATATGACGCATGCGCCTGGTGACTGTAAGAGCGGCCAGACATCGACTGAGGTGACCGACCCCGGGATATCCAAACAGCTCTCGCTCGTCAGTAAGTTGGGTGGACAAGATAAGACTTAGTATCAACTCTCACTTTGGTGAAATCATCGACCATAGGTGCTACCAAACAATCAATCAATCAGGACGAACCGTGATTCCAACCCACGGTCATAGGTTTTTGGCACGCAACTCTGAAGAGTGAACTTCGGCGCCTGTGTACCACCCGTGCCCTCTATTGTAACTGTGTACCACCCTGCCCTCTATTGTAACTGTGTACCACCCTGCCCTCTATTGTAACTGTGTACCACCCTGCCCTCTTGTATTGTACCACCCGTGCCCTCCACCCGTGTATTGTAACTGTGTACCACCCTGCCCTCTATTGTAACTGTGTACCACCCGTGCCCTCTATTGTAACTGTGTACCACCCGTGCCCTCTATTGTAACTGTGTACCACCCGTGCCCTCTATTGTAACTGTGTACCACCCGTGCCCTCTATTGTAACTGTGTACCACCCCACCCGTGCCCCTCTTGTATTGTAACTGTATTTGTGTACCACCCTGCCCTCTATTGTAACTGTGTACCACCCGTGCCCTCTATTGTAACTGTGTACCACCCGTGCCCTCTATTGTAACTGTGTACCACCACCCGTGCCCTCTATTGTAACTGTGTACCACCCTGCCCTCTATTGTAACTGTGTACCACCCGTGTCCTCTCTATTGTAACTGTGTACCACCGTGTAACTGTCTATTGTAACTGTGTGTGTACCACCCGTGCCCTCTATTGTAACTGTGTACCACCCGTGCCCTCTATTGTAACCACCCGTGCCCTCTATTGTAACTGTGTACCACCCGTGCCCTCTATTGTAACTGTGTACCACCCGTGCCCTCTATTGTAACTGTGTACCACCCGTGCCCTCTATTGTAACTGTGTACCATCCGTGCCCTCTATTGTAACTGTGTACCACCCGTGTCCTCTATTGTAACTGTGTACCACCCGTGCCCTCTATTGTAACTGTGTACCACCCGTGCCCTCTATTGTAACTGTGTACCACCCGTGCCCTCTATTGTAACTGTGCCCTCTATTGTAACTGTGTACCACCCGTGCTCTCTATTGTAACTGTGTACCACCCGTGTCCCTCTATTGTAACTGTGTACCACCCGTGTCCTCTATTGTAACTGTGTACCACCCGTGTCCTCTATTGTAACTGTGTACCACCCGTGCCCTCTATTGTAACTGTGTACCACCCGTGCCCTCTATTGTAACTGTGTACCACCCGTGCTCTCTATTGTAACTGTGTACCACCCGTGCCCTCTATTGTAACTGTGTACCACCCGTGTCCTCTATTGTAACTGTGTACCACCCGTGCCCTCTATTGTAATGGAAGTCACCGTTTGTTTCATGGTCTGTCTTCGGTGAAATAAGGGGGACTAATTAGTTCATGAACCATACGGCACATGCAGATGTCGGAGTGAAAATTGTTTAACCCTGCTTTGAACAGTGTGTAAGTTACTTTGTATAGTGCTGGCAAACCCAAACTGGTTAACTAACCAAACTACAGCGGATCCTTGTCTGGTCAAGGAACACTACTCCTCCACACAGCGATGCTTCAGGTCGATCACTGGGGTACACATGATGCTTTCTTGACAGGCTTTTCCGAATATATTATCCCGGTGTTAGGGGTTTTCGGCGATGTAAGACAAAAACGTATTTTTCATTTGTAATATCATTTAAAGTTTTTATTTACTAAGCTTGAGTGATAAAGGATATATTCATCTATTTCGCACAAAAATATCCAGCGGTTCCTACAAAAATAGCGTTGATGACATCGTATCGGCGAAACTGTTGCCGCTCGCCACATCCGGGGATTTTGTATGGGTTTTTGACGATGAGCCATCCTTTTTTGCTCCGCACTGCCAGGGAGTGTTGTGATCACGTGGCTTCCTATTTACATATTGTCTGTCACCGGCAGACGACTGATCTTACTGAATTTTCGCTTGCTATTTTTTGTTATAAAGGCAACTGATGTTGCATCTGAAGTGGTATTAACGATCTCGGGTAAATAATATTAATGTTTGATTGCTTTTTACATAACTTTACTTCCCGATTTCCATTGTCAATGAAACTTCTCACGACAGCGACTGGGCACCCGCCCTACCGATGAAACTGCTTGTGCACTCCGATCGCGCGCGTACTCCCCCAATATAGCGTGAGCAATGCAATCGTCAAACTCACCAGAACGTCGAATTCAGCTCGTTTTGGGATACCTCATTGTTGATATTTGAATAATTTTTGTGAAAATTTGATTTATCGAACTAAAGGCGACAGAAAACGTTTCAGGCCCTGAAGTAATTGTATTCAACATATATTCCCATGTTTCATCAGAACATATACATATGCATCGCCAAGTGGGTGAACAGCTCTTAGGATAAGATTTGCTGATATTTCATATTTTTCTTGTAAACATATCACCAGCCAGTTGTCCATATATAGCGTTTACACGTTAACTGTTACTGCATCAGATCACTTCCCCGGATGTATAAACGCTAAACAGGTTAAAGAGGGAGATAGCGCCGCCCCCTCGTATCATCATCTAGATATGTTTGTGGTGTTGTAAAAATCACACGATCCTTGTTATAGGCACCTGTGAGACGCCCACGACCACTCCTGCGCCGACGACATCGACGGCGGCTCCAGGTACGGTGCCGACTGTGAGTGGCTCGACCACCGCAGCTTCTAATACTTCCTCCGGCTCTGCTACACCTTCTCCTTCTGTAGATGATGGATGTAAGTCTGGCTCTGTACACCTCACTCACTCTCTTTACTCCTTACAGTCTCCTCTGCACGAAATACCTGTTGTAGTAGCAACAGCATCCGCGCCAGTCCAGTGCATCATATCTCGAATAAGTACATACCCCTAACTCATACGTCACCAATATGGCTTCGCTGCGTTGTCATATCCTCAATCTCTGGACCGTCAGTCTCAGGCTCTCAGCACAGAATATCTGGTTCATTAAAATGACACCTATAGGGTAGCCATTTTAATGAAGGTCACATTGAAACTATGGCAGCGGGTGAATCCTGGGTAATTCATGTAGTACATGTACAAAGGAGACAGAAGGCGGTCGACGATGCAGCATTATGATGTAGATTGGTAGTAGTATAGCCGCCCGTCATATGGCGGCAGCCCAAGTATCAGTAGTTACAGCAGTGTAAGTGTCAGTAGAAGAATAGTGTCAGTATTGTAGTAGTAGTAGTAGTAGTAGTAGTAGTAGTAGTAGTAGTAGTAGTAGTAGTAGTAGTAGTAGTACTAGTAGAAGTAGTAGTAGTAATAGTAGTAGTCACCCTGACCACGTGACAACTCTGGTCTATTCCTCCTCCCGTTACTACCTCCTGTGTGTCCATTGCCCTGCCCACTGTGGGTATAACTCATGTCCAGTTGCTCCCTATCTGACAACTGATTCCCCCTGCGTCCGTTTGCCGGACATGGTCTCGACCTCACCTGCTACCTGCATTTTGATGTGGTTATAGCACAGTTCATTCACTGTAATCAGTGTAGACTTGCATAAGTCTCTAAGGTAATAATTAATCGTTAATGATAATTTCTATAAAAATATAAACAAGAGACTGGGGTCCTTAGACTACCGTCCGCTTATCTAGACTTGACTCATAAAAGAAAAGAATTACTCAGTAGTCAGTACAGCCTTGGAGCAAGTCTATAAACAGTGTCACGACCGACCTCGTCACATACAATGCGTGTACCATGGCGCTCGGTTTTCAAGACAAGTTAATCTGTGCTCAACAAACATTAAAGTTTTATCATTTTTATTTGAGGACAAAATAAAGCGGGAAAAGTTTTATTTAAATAGTTCAGTTATATAAGGTTCAAGATTACAGCGATGTTGTTGTGTGTCGCGGGACAACGGTAGAGTGTAAACAGCACAACACTTCCACAACAGGGTGTGAGCTGTGAACACCGAGACATCGTACACGTGGATGATATGAACGGCCATCCACGCCATAGTTGTCGGATTAATTAGACCTTGTTCAACTGCAGGTATATGTGCAGTTACACTAACATCACTAACAGTGTTTATCACTCTATTCCAGCTACCACCGATAAGGTAAGTGTTGAACCAGTCTACTTCACACATAGGCAAGAGACGTGTAAAGTGATGCTATCTGTTGATATGTTGTTTCTATAACCGTCGGTATGTAGACAAGACACTGACCTGGGTTGGGTGGACGGATGCGACATGGTATTGCTGGACAACATTTAAGGGTGTATCTAGCCCCTACCTTATACAATAAACAAATGTCTATAAAGCAGGTGTAGGCTAAAACAGCAAAACAGCATCGTATTGCGCGACGTATATATTTCAAGAACGGTAAGAACGATTGGTATGGAATTATTCTCCTGTTAAATCCACGAGAGCGTTCGGCGAATACACAGTGACGTTGCAGGATACGTTCATTGTGTCTCAATATGGCGGTGGTTCAGAAAGTAATATCCTCTTGCTTCCAGAATTCGGCAACAACACGCTTCATGTCAGCATGGATCTTCCTGGTTACCCTGACTCTCATTGGCTGCAGGCTGTAAGGGTTCAAGGTCGCCGGTAATCAGGGTGTTATGACGTGGTCCGCCTTTAATGGAGCGCCGAAGTATGGTGTGATATCCATACCCACGACACAGTGCAATGTAATCTACTCGTTTTGCTTTTACTTTTGTTTATTTGTCGTTATTGTTTACATTATTCGTTGTATTTGGATTGTGTTGAAATAAATAAATATTAACCATAAGTGTGATGACTGCCATAACAAGTTACTTCGTCGGACGCATCAATTGGGACGGAATTCGATCCAGAGTTTAGTCGGCTTGGTTCAAGGTCATGCATGGGGTACATCCGGGCCACAAACACGTTTTTCATGTGATTCCATAGTTAATATTCCAGTTTTCCACGTGGTCGGGCAGGTATACATTCTGTTTGAATACCTACTTCTGTTGTTTTCATCACTGATACAAGCTATGATTATGTGTAGTTTTTGTTCTCCTTATTATTATGCAATGTAAATGTAAAACAACATATTTTCTATCGGTGTTAAAAGAATGGAGCTTCATGCAAATACAGCATGGGATATGTGTGAATAGTGTTATTTCATGTGAAGTGTACACATCAAAACTGTAGCTATGATGTTCATTCTTTGATGACCACAGTTTGACCTTCACTCTACAAAGGTTCATACTCATATGAACTCGCTCAGAGAGTAAGTTTTTTGTTAAACATGTGAGGGGTTCAATGATGTTAAGTACGATATTCAACATGTGAGGGGTTCAATGATGTTAAGTACGATATTCAACATGTGAGGGGTTCCATGATGTTAAGTACGATATTCAACATGTGAGGGGTTCCATGATGTTAAGTACGATATTCAACATGGCAATCAATGTGGCATTTATACCTCCACTCAGGACATGCATCAATGATCTTCAATAGGACGTTCCGACTGGTATTCAATAGGACGTTCAGACTGGTATTCAATAGGACGTTCAGTCTGGTATTCAATAGGACGTTCCGACTGGTATTCAATAGGACGTTCAGACTGGTATTCAATAGGACGTTCAGTCTGGTATTCAATCTGGTCTGGTATTCAATAAGACGTTCAGATTGGTATTCAATAGGACGTTCAGTCTGGTATTCAATAGGACGTTCAGTTTGGTATTCAATAGGACGTTCAGACTGGTATTCAATAAGACGTTCAGACTGGTATTCAATAAGACGTTCAGACTGGTATTCAATAGGACGTTCAGTCTGGTATTCAATAGGACGTTCAGTCTGGTATTCAACAGGGGCGTTCAGTCTGGTATTCAACAGGACGTTCAGTCTGGTATTCAATAGGACGTTCAGTCTTGTATTCAATAGGACGTTCAGTCTGGTATTCAATAGGACGTTCAGTTTGGTATTCAATAGGACGTTCAGACTGGTATTCAATAAGACGTTCAGACTGGTATTCAATAGGACGTTCAGTCTTGTATTCAATAGGACGTTCAGTCGTGTATTCAATAGGACGTTCAGTCTTGTATTCAATAGGACGTTCAGTCTGGTATTCAATAGGACGTTCAGTCTTGTATTCAATAGGACGTTCAGTCTGGTATTCAATAGGACGTTCAGACTGGTATTCAATAGGACGTTCAGACTGGTATTCAATAGGACGTTCAGACTGGTATTCAATAAGACGTTCAGTCGTGTATTCAATAGGACGTTCAGTCTGGTATTCAATAGGACGTTCAGACTGGTATTCAATAAGACGTTCAGACTGGTATTCAATAAGACGTTCAGTCTGGTATTCAATAGGACGTTCAGTCTGGTATTCAATAGGACGTTCAGATTGGTATTCAATAGGACGTTCAGTCTTGTATTCAATAAGATGTTCAGTCTTGTATTCAATAGGACGTTCAGTCTTGTATTCAATAGGACGTTCAGTCTGGTATTCAATAGGACGTTCAGTCTTGTATTCAATAGGACGTTCATCAATGATGTGTATAATAAAACGTTCAGACATTATGTTCCACGTCGTGTTCAGTACAGTTCACGTGATCACCGCACATCACCTAAAGCGGCACAATACCTTACTACAGCTGATACAGGCCTGTATGCTAAAGGTACGAGGCTGAATATACTGTACTAATGTTAACATAAACAACCACTGTATTGTATAGTTATCAAGAATGTTCGTACTATCTGTCCAAATAGGAATGGGACCAAGCACAGATTGATTTTGAGTCAATCACACAGACACCAGTTGCTTTAGATCAATATATTGATATTGTAGAGGCATACAGAAGTTAGTAAGGAGAAGATATATGGATTTACAACTTCTATATTTTCGATGAGGAGCGACGCTTCTAACACCGTCTCAAGCACGCAGTTCCTCATTGTAAACACAGAAGTTGTCCACCCCTGTACTTTATCCTTACCGAGTATGGTGGGACTGAAGTGGCCACTGTAGTCATGTTTCAATGCCAGGAGAGTGTAGGTGAAAAAGTAATGTGGTATAGGATGTTATAATGGTAATTAGTTCACGTAATATTGGTGTATTGACACATTATTAATATTCCTGATGTAACAATGAATAAAACGTTCTGTTAAACAATGTATCTGTTTTAAATGTAAGGACTGCGCCTGTGTTCAAACAGCAGATGGAATGTACTCCGTACTGGACCTGTGTACTTGTCCCCCTGGGCCCCGTTTCACAAAGCTATCGTAGCGCTACGACTGTCGTAAGTTTATGTTACAGTATAGAAGGTACGATCGTAGCGCTACGATCATCGTAACTCCCATACTTTAACATAGATTTAGGACAGTCGTAGCTACGATCATCGTAACTCCCATACTTTAACATAGATTTAGGACAGTCGTAGCTACGATCATCGTAACTCCCATACTTTAACATAGATTTAGGACAGTCGTAGCTACGATCATCGTAACTCCCATACTTTAACATAGACTTAGGACAGTCGTAGCTACGATCATCGTAACTCCCATACTTTAACATAGATTTAGGACAGTCGTAGTAGCGCCAAGATGATCGTAACTCCCATACTTTAACATAGACAGTCGTAAGCGCTACGATCGCTTTGAGGAACGGGGCCCAGGCTGGATACCAGGGACAGTTGTCTTTCGCGCCGCAGTTGGCTGATGCTATGAGTAAACGTCCGCGTCCCGGTGTCCGATATTCGGAGGTAGTTTTGAACGCTGGTCTTATAGGGACCATGAGTGACGGACGGACATGCTGAACGCTACATTCCCCGGTTTTTTAAACCCGTGAAGATCCGGGTTAGAATTGATCTTCAGTAACCCATGCTTGTCGTAAGAGGCGATTAACGGGACCGGGTGGTCAGGCTCGCTTGTGGACACAAGTCATCGTATCCTAATTGCGTAGATCGATGTTCATGCTATTGATCACTGGATTGTCTAGCCTGGACACGACTATTTACAGGCCGCCGCCATATAGCTTGAATATTGCAGAGTGCGGCGTTAAACAACCAACCAGTTTTTCAAGCGGGCGCATAACTGGGACAGAGAGAGCAACGCCGAGATAGAGAAACATGAGCCCAGGCTGGACATTGTCATAACAGGGACAGAGAGAGCACGCATCAGCGCCGAGATAGAGAAACATGAGCCCAGGCTGGACATTGTCATAATATATTTGATTTTATTTCATGAACAGTAAACCTCGATGAGGTAAATAAAGCATATAAATAAAATTCAGGAATACGGCTTGCGAACATCACTCAACATTATCACAAATAACAGCGTGGTACAAGGAAGACGTGGGTAGTATACTTATATCTTACAATGTAGTCGTCATGGAAACAATCACAAAGCTCACATGTCGGATGTCTTCTTTGATAAAATGCCAAAGAACATATGCATGTTAACATAAGTCATTAGTTTGATTAAGCACAAATATTTTGATTTTCAAGTTAGATGAAGACGAAGACCATTCGGGTGTGACCTTTGTGAATGCGATTCTCTTTGGCCTGTCTAGGGAAGTGTTGGAGTTAGTTGATAACTGTATACATACAACATTGCTATTCTGGGGCGAAATTTGCATTTAAAAATATACAATATACAATATACATTCTCATAAAGGAAGCAATCTGTGACAAAGAATCCAAACTTTTGAAAATACTATTTGAAGTATATTATCATGGTCCTGTTTTCGTGTAGGCATGTTTCATATATCACATATAGAATATTCACAATTACTACTGTACATAAGCATAACAGAATAACAAACATGGGGCATGAAGTGTGACGAAAATGTTACTTGAACCGCCAATACCACAAACCGGAACCTTACCATTGGGGACAGGATTATCTCCCTTTGAAAGCACGACGCGCGGTAAAGGGAGTGTGTATTGATTGGATTAATAGACTGGGTATTGTACTGTTACTGTTTGATAATGCAAATGAAACAACAATCAAGCTATGCGAGGTTACACTGTGATAGCACAAAGCATTAAAATAAGCTGAGCTGTGGAAACCGATCTCCGTTATGCTCTCTATCAACGAATTTGATATTGACCTGTCGCTCGTTTATAGTGACACACAGTGACGTCATTCCCGCAGCTGACACAAGCTGCTAGTGAAGGTGATACAAGAATATATATACGTAAATAGTATCAATGATCATACCAGGAGACAGACATCTCAATGTTTGGCATTTCATGGGAAGACTAGCGTCGCTTCGTACTAACGGGACTATGTGACCGTCTGTGGCAGTGAGGTAAGAGTCTGTGACTCGAGGTAAAGAATGCCTCGTCTTACGTTTTGGTAAAGAACGCTATTGCAAGGAGACATTTTACATGCGAATGAGTTGCCTCCCTTACGATGCACGAGAATTGGTTCTTCTTTGTTCTCAACACGTGCAACATGCGTAGGGTGTGACTTGCGAGTATTTGAAACAAAATGCCATCAAGGACTAAAATGGTTATGGGAAAAATGAAAAGAAACGAAACACAACACATAACGATTGGAACCGTCACAAATCTTTGTCTTTCAACTTTAGAGACAAAATCCTGGCAAGATTCCTATATAACGAAGACCTGGACGAAACACTCCGTGAGCTGCGAAACAAAGTCGGAGTATGAATTCGACTGACTTGAAAGGAAGGATGGTTGTGTTGTGTGAGGTCACACAGAGTTTGCATTGTAGTGTATAGTGGGTATTAAAATAGCAATCTCTAATAATTTGTAGATCTGGCCATGTCTCCATACTTGGCAAGTACCATTATGTGTGTTCTACCAATAAACAATTAGAGTGAACATGCATCTATATGAAGTGGCCTGTACCCTCAGCTCGTTCACTCACTCACTCACTGATCACAGAACGAACGTGCAGGATCCGCCAAGTCTCACACTGAGGAAACAGTGAAGTGAAATACCTTCACTCTGACAGTCAGGGAAACATAATGCCGTCACTCTGACCAATCCAAGAACAGGAGTGACATCATACTGCTGAGAGACCCTGACCAATCAGAAAAATTGAATACCCTCGATCCTGATTACCTCTGTCAGGTTCAATGTTAACAGCACCTTCTGGACGTCAGTGTGACCGACAGGGTACTGTGTTGACTATTATTGCAGTGTGACAGTGACGGTGGGCACTGTATAAAGGCTTCATTTCACCATCAGATCTACAAGAAAGTCTGAGTGTTCTTATCATCACTGCCGTCAGGCGAGGAGGCAGAGCTGGACCCAGGGGAAGTCTTCTCTGCTGCTTCTTCTATTCTCGATTTCCTGAGAGTTGCGAACAGTTCCTTGAACAACACCTTGTAGGGAGCCGGTTGTCCCGTGTCCTGGGTGTAATCCTTGGTGAAGGTGAGGTTGAGGAGAGTCTGGACCTCCTTATTAGCCAGCCTTTTCCGCATCCTCTCCTCAGCAGTCTCCTCTGACTCGCCTAACTGTCTCTTGGCTTTGATCACTGCCTCATATTTCTGAAATAGGTTCTTGTACTGTGTCTCCAGTTCGTCCAGAATAGACAGTCCCGAGTCATCTGCGTCTTTTTCCAGAATCTCTGTTGCATCCACAGCCACTTTGCTGATTGACTCTGAGCTACCATACAGGCTGCCTCCACCACCCAGCTTCACAGCCTTGCCAGGCGTCTTCAGCTCTGGGTGGTCGTGTTCAATTTCCTTCAGAATGTGATACTGCGATTCCACATCCTCCACACTGCGGTCACAGTTCCAGCAGAGAATCTTTGCACAACGGTCATTGGCTTCCGCCAGTTCCTCCTCCAAACTTTTCATTTGTGATACACGTTCTTCGAGCGTTGCTATTCTCCTCTCCAAGATTTGATTTTCCTGAATGACAATAGAATTTTCTAGTTCCACATCCTCCCTCTTATGCTTCTCTATAGACTTCAAACTCTTCACATGCTGGAGGGTTTCCTGTAGTCGCCGTATCTCTTGTTCATATGGGTTCATGGGCAGATTCTTTAGTTTTTCATTATAAGTCCAGGACAAGTTCTCCAGGTAGTACCCCTTCTTTGCCTCCACCGTTTCATTGAGGCTGGCTAAACTCAGGGCACGGCGAGATTCCTGCTTCTTTGTGAGTCTTTCTGCAGCTTTCATCTCGTCAATCTTCTTGAGGAGATCCTCCACCCGGAAGTCCAAAAGCTCCACAGTGTTGCTCAATCTGAAACAACACAGGTTAGAGTGAGCGAGGGATATTGTTGTGTGAAGCATTGCTCACTCACGGAGACAATACCAGAAAATGCACAAAAAGGTTAACGCATATAAATATGAGGTCAAGGTAGTGCACAAGAATAGAAACAGTGAGTGAGTGAGTGAGTGAGTTAATATTTAACGTCACATGGGCAATATCGCAGCCATATCGTGACGAAGAATAGAAACAACAAATGGACATACTACGCGACTTTGACATATCTAAGTGATATTTAAGTTATTTGCAAAAGTAATCTGTAGTTGCGGTTATCTACCTGTCAATCTTGTCCTTGTCAGACTTGGACTGGTTCAACAGTTTTTGATTGGTCTTCTCTAGCTCCTGTGATGACCTGTCCAGGTCCTCGTACACTCGCATCCGGGACTCGTTCGTCAACCGCACGGTCTCCAGCTGCTTGGCATAGAACTGTAACAGACACAGGATAAGCAAGTGAATGCTGTTTTTTCCGACGCAGTCAGAATTATTCCAACTATATCACACACGACTCCAGCCGTCACAGACTAAGCCAGTGGTTGACAGCATGAGCGATGACCGCGGAACGATGGCACACAGTCAACAAGGTGCACTGTGAGCCTCCCATCCTTACTTATTTCTACTTCGAAATCCGAGCCGAACATGGGATTCTAGCTAAAGGAAAACCAAGTTCTATAGATAGTCAACGTTTCTGTGCAGATACTAACACCGTTATCAAGCAATTGACCGAAACGTCGCATTCATTGCAATGTAGAGTTGACTATCCATAGACCTTGGTTGTCCTTCATCTGTACAACTTATAAATTGCCGCTCAAAAAGGGATTCTGGCTATATTGTTGTGTTATCGTAAATAACTAATAGGATGATTGAAAACGACAGATCATACAATAACAATTTCCAGTTATTAGTTATGATAGGCATCGGTTGTGCTTATATTTAATGAATATTGAAGAGTTGCTTTAAAATGAGTTCTCTTCATAATTTTACTAATAGCATTTAGTTTGAGTATAATACAGTAGAGGAGTGGTACACATCGGACCTGCACTTCGAGCGCCTGTTCATGGTTGGTCTGATGCAGGGCGACCACCTGTGTCTCTAACTCTCGGTTCCTCTCCAGCAACGCCTTCCCCAACTCCGCTGCCAACTGCAGATCTGGAACAGCAACAAAACCATCTTACGTCAAACTTTAGTTTCCCCTTGAGTGTATTCAGTCATACGTCGAGTCTGAACAACAGAAGCACCGGAACATATCTCCACACATAATTGGGAATAATGTGAGAACGCACGATCACAAGGTCATGGTACGTTTAAGGGACGCAACTCTGCAATGCAGTACGTTTCAGACACACAAACGTGCTGAAAACAATTTCATGAAATATTTGATATTTGAATGTAATATCTTATGTATACAATATATTGCAAATGTAAAGTGAGTGAGTGGTTGTATCCCGCGTTTATCAACGTTCCGACAATATCACGGCAGAGGATACCACCAGCGGCCTTCCCACACAATACCCTTGGCTTCCTGTAGACTGACTTAAGCCTAATATGTCTCATGCCTGAATGTCGTGGAGATGAGACAATATAATGCTGGTTTGTGACAGATGTTACAGTGGCTGGAGCTAGCTGTATTATGACACAGCGGTATGACTGGCGTGGAATAACTAACCATTTCAGCGAGTAAACAAGTCAATTGTTATACAAAACGATCAGTTACTGCCACAAAGATCCATAAATCAACTGTCTCATAACCAAGCATTTGTTCACAGCTCGTACAAATCTGGATTATGACGATCGATATCTACTCTAGAAATAACTCCCTAAAACGCCGACTTCCACGACTTCACGTTGTCAGCTTCAAAAAGTCCTCGTATGTCTAGCTCGTGCTTAGTCCTCTACAGGTATGTACACTGTACGTCCAGCTCGGGCGTAGTACTCTCCAGGTATGTACAACGTACGTCCAGCTCGTGCTTAGTCCTCTACAGGTATGTACACTGTACGTCCAGCTCGGGCGTAGTACTCTCCAGGTATGTACACTGTATGTCTCACCTGGGCGTAGTACTCTACAGCTATGTGCGCTGTACGTCTCGCCTGGGCGTAGTACTCTCTAGGTACGTACACTGTACGTCTCGCCTGGGCGTAGTACTCTACAGCTATGTGCACTATACGTCTCGCCTGGGCGTAGTGCTCTCTAGGTACGTACAATGTACGTCTCGCCTGGGCGTAGTGCTCTACAGCTATGTGCACTATACGTCTCGCCTGGGCGTAGTACTCTACAGCTATGTGCACTATACGTCTCGCCTGGGCGTAGTACTCTACAGCTATGTGCACTATACGTCTCGCCTTGGCGTAGTGCTCTCTAGGTACGTACACTATACGTCTCGCCTGGGCGTAGTGCTCTCTAGGCACGTACACTATACGTCTCGCCTGGGCGTAGTACTCTATAGCTATGTGAAGTATACGTCTCGCCTGGGCGTAGTACTCTACAGCTATGTGCAGTATACGTCTCGCCTTGGCGTAGTGCTCTCTAGGTACGTACACTGTACTTTCACCACTAGCCTACCCTGGGGTCACCCGCTCAGCTAACGCGACTTTCACAAAAAAGGAAGCTGAGCGGGTTAGGCGGCTGACTTTGTGTGCTGGCGATTAGGTGCCTGACTCTGAGGGTTTTAGTTCGAATCCCGGATGGGGCTCCACTCAAAAAAAGTACTAGAATTTGTATTTACTAAGAAAGCGTAATCCCAAATACATCATATGTTACATTTGACCACTTTCTAAATGGCACTGTGTAATCATGCAGGAAAACGTTTGAATGAGGGAAAATAGCACCCGTTCCCGGTGGAACCCTCCCAGTCAAAGAGTTTGTTCGAAACTGCGACATTTTCTCTGCAAAATTAATGTCATAATTCTGTAGTAGGTCCATACACATTTTTAAATGTCAGCTGGCAGAGTATACGTCACTTTTCTGAGAACATGACCCCACTCTGCAAGAGGTGAGGTGAGGTGAAATTGGGTTTATCGTCGTGCTTGAGAATATTTCGCTCATATGACGACGTGCATGCGTATGTATGTGTATGTGCGGCTGCTTGTACTAGCCCAGACTTAAGCTGGTTTTATAGTGCTAGCCCACTGAGATACCATGCCGCAGTGAAGCATGAATAACCCACTCAGACACATTATACTGACTCCGAGCCGACCAGTCCTTGTTGTACCCATTAATGCCGAGCGCCAGGCAGGGACCAGCAAATACCATATTTTAACGTCTTTTGGTATTACGCGGTCGGGGATCGAACCCGCGACCTTCCGCTCTTCGGGCGGCCGCTCTAACCACTACACCACAGAGGCGGTCCACTCTACAAGAAGTGCCATGCAGCACGATGGACAATTCGTGCATCAGTTAACAATGGACATATTTCCGTCTTCACCCTACGCCCGCCTTGTGATCATGTCAGGAAAGCATACATGTGAGGTTCGACTTACATATGATCGGACGTGTTGTGTTCCTGTCAATGTCTGGTGTAACAACAGGCTGTATCTGGTCACAGTTGTGTTCGAGGTGTACATTTGCACACATACATATGCATATGCATATATAGTGTGTTCGAGGCATACACATCCGGGGCTGACAGAGGGACAAACGCTGGCCTCGCCCTGCAGCAGCAGCAACAGCTACGACACAGGAGGGCGGCATCTGACACCGCGTTGTGGTATTCAGGAACGGTGAGGCAAGGATTACACTGTCCACAGAGGAGGTCACGTCATCACCGCGGTATGACTGTCGTTCATACAGAAAAACACAGCGGGCTATCGTCTGTGAAGACATGAGACCCAACTTCCATGATAACGTTGACACCAGCTACGTTATTACATCTTGACAGAAAGTACACAATACGTGAAACAGGCATGGCCTCGCTGATTGGTAAACAATAACACACCTGTATGGACAATCGGTCAACGTGAGGGAATCGCGCACCTGTCGTGGCGACAGACGGACGGGATTAATTAATTTCGAAATGCCTATGATTACAGATGGTCGATACTAGTCACTGTGACATCGACCCAGGAACCACGGACAAGGTCGGTGATACTTGTATCTGTACGTAGCATCTGTTCAGGAGCGTGATAGAAAGGCTCAATTCGGATATAACGTCTGCGCATGCGTAAAATATCACGCAGGTCGTTTTAAACGTCCACTAACTCGGTGACCGTATTGCATAAACCGTTTCACTGTTGTCATTCCGCTTAAGACGAGACGCCCAAAGATCCAGATATCTCAACATTGAAGATAACCCATATACAATGTTAATGTTGAAATGTCAATTCCAGTTTATCCAGCGTATATATATCAAACATGTTAATATGACTAAATGAACGTTGTGCATCGTGATATTAGTAATTAATGAGAGTCTGCAGTACTTCTTCTATATCACGTAGCAGCTTAATGGGGGAGAAGTGGCACATCTAGGTTTATTTGTTGTTGTTGGTGTTGTTGTTGTTGTTGTTGTCGAACAACCCGCTCAGCCATATCCCTGCTACATCACAACGACGTGAACTAGACAGTCCTGCATCACGATGATATCAATCAACCAGTTGGGCCCGCCAGACCACCTGATTTGGCTGAAACTGGGATTCAAACCAACCAGCAGCGGAACTTGTCTGGAGCTCAGATGATACAAGGAAATAATGGCGTCTTTCGTCACATGCTCGACTGCAGTGCACACTCGTGACAAGGTCGCCCTGCCAGTCAACATCATTGCTACGAAACAAGACTTTCTGTTTGTACAGGAAATGACATACATTTGGGGTGACAAAGGACAGGTTTTGTACATTATGTAGTCCCGACATATTGGTGTATTCTATCGAGTTTAATCCTCTACAAATTCTGCATTGTCACATGGCACAGGGTAATGCTGCCGGAAGTAATACCCGACCTTGTTTCAATGACACATATGCGGAAATATTTGGCCTTACTGTCTTGTTGACGTGTTTGTTTCTGATCAGACCCTTCTGTTAGACTAGCTACAGACCTATTCGTTTCCAAACATGTTGCAAGTCAGTTCCGCTGGAATAGTAACTGCCAGCGTATTTTGTACCATCGCAAGAGAACGTATCCTCAAGAATGTGCTGGTGTTGTTTAACGGGGAATTAAGAAATAGTTCAACAATATTGAGGTAGTGACTAAGAAATCAACTGGTTGATAATATGAGCAACGGTCCACACGAAGGGGTACGATGGCTGACAGTCCAGCCAAGCCACCGAACCTGTCCACCCGAACGCCTCTTCCGACCAGAGAACCTCCTCCCCACCCCCACCCCAGGTGCAACCCGTGCATTAAGCTGTGTTCTCCCACGACGTCTCCACCACTACACGTATACGGTGACGTCTCATTACTGATCTCATAGATCCACCACAGAATAATCACCCTTGAAGTTTTCCTGACAGACTAATTACCATAATCAGGAAGACGAATGACGTATGTACCACCACTCCCAGTAATACCCCGCAACGTTGAAATGAATGTGGCCAGGTCCCGGGGGGATATCAGTGCTGTGTTGGACCGTGGGAACTTCTACACAAGACATCATACAAGGTTAGCAGTTTACTATAGGTGACATGAAACCATTGTGAAATACGCCAAACTTAAACTTTAATTGTAAATACACACGCGTGTGTGTGTGCGTGCGTGCGTGCGTACATTAGCCATACAGAGAACTGTCCGAGTATAGAGTGTGGACATTAACTATAACATGTACAGATGGAGACGAAGCGAACTTGAGGCATTCAGTATCAGTTTCATCGGACAAGTACCTAACCTTTTCTATCTGATGTCTAAGTTAAGTTGATTCAAGTATGGCCGAGATATCTGTTGAGTGGAATTATCTTCGTACAGTTCGCTACGAACCCTCGCAATTGAGGTCTTACTGAAAAAAAAAAAGAGCCGTAACATCGTGCAGGATATGTACAAGCAAACAAACTGTTAAAAATACAACCACACCACAACGTTCGACCACGCACTGTTTACTCAAAGTAATTCCACTACATAGTTCTCCTGGATAGATTTTCAACATCACTCGCTTGCTATATTTACCGCACTGGTTGCTATATATAGCACATTTATGCTGTTTATAAAACATTACTTGCCATAGATATCA